AATAAAGCAACAATTAATATAATTTACTACATAACAGAATAAGAGGACACCATAAGATCATTTCAATAGACGACAAAACCCAACACTCATTTTTAAGAATAATTCTCAGTAAATTAGGAATAGAAGGAAATTTTCTCAATCTAACAAAAAAAATTTACAAAACAAGCACCCCCTACAGTTAACATCACAGTTTCACATTTCATAGTGAAAGATTAAGTGCTTTCCTCCTGTGACTGGGAACAAGACAAGGATGTTCACTCTCATCAGTTCTATTCAACATTGCATTGGAGGTCCCAAACAGTGTAATAAGGCAAGAAAGAGGAATAAAAATCATGAAAATTATAAAAAAATAAGTAAAACTCTCTTTATTCACAGATGACATGTTTGTATACATGGAACATGCTAAGAAATAAAAAAAAATACTGGTGCTAATGAGTTCAGCAATGTTACATTATTCACGATCATTAGAAAAAGATCAATTGTATTTCTATAGTCTAGCGATGACTGGAAATTGAAATTAAAAATACCACTTATAATAACATTAAAATCATGTAATATTAGGAAAATACTTAGGAATAAAGTCAACAAAATTCGTACATGATCTGTTTGCTGAAAAGTACAAATTAAAAATTGAAATTAAACACTTCAGTAAATGAAAAGATATAGCAAATTCATGGATTAAAAGATTAAATATTGTTAAAATGTCATTCTCCCCAAATCAAGCTATAGAGTCAATATAATCTACAGATTTCACTGTAAGATTATTTTACATTAGCAGCATGTATCTATATATAAGTGAAGTTAATTCTTTTCAATGGCTACATATATTCCCCCATATGAATGAGGCATAGTTTATCTAACAGTCCATTGAAAGTAGTTGGCTAAGGAAATATTTTTGTTCACTAAATTTTGTTTATAAACCTATGTGGTGATTTAGGTATTACATATAATTGATATATCTGTGCATATGTATATATATACATATATATGAGTATACAACACAACTGCCTCACTCTATTATTCAATTAGAGTTGTCCCAATTTTCCCCTGTTGCTCTCCCCTGCCCTGCCCACCCCTGCTCCCTCTGTCAGTCCCCACCCTGCTGTCCATTACCATGGGGCCTTTCTCTATTTTAGACCATAGATACATAGGATACAAATAGTATTACTGGGTTACAGAACATTCTTATATATAATAGCCCATAAGCCTTATTACATGGAGTGGGTGATTTGCTAAATTAGCCATGCACTGGTGTTTTTTAGGGGACCCATGCCACTTTTGGGCTTTCCCTATGGTAGACATACCTGGGCCAGTCATATGGGCAGGTTCCATTCCTCTCAGCTTTCCCAGCTGGGCCCAATGCTTCTTCCAGATGGAATTACTTCCTTATTCCATGCCTGGCTTACCAACCTGGCTCCACAATTCCTGGGCTGGGACTAACTCCTGGACCACTGGCTTTATGGCAACATTAGTTTTGTATTTCATGAGGGTTATGACTGAAATCTCACCACTAATTACTTCTTAAAAAAAACATTTATTTATTTTTAGAGAGTGGGGAAGGGAGGGAGGAAGAGAGGTAGAGAAACGTCGATATGTGGTTGCCTCTTGCGTACCCCCTACTGGGGACCTGGCTGGGCATCGAACCGGCGACCCTTTGGTTTGCAGACCAGCACTCAATCCACTGAGACACACCAGCCAGGGCTAATCACTTCTATCGAATAGTATTTGTGCTGGGCTTGCCTTCCCAAGTCCCTTCCTTTCCTTTGGCAGTCTAGCGTTTTCCAATGGATACGTCTATTTCCTACAGCTGGTTATCCATCTGGTACTTCTTGTAAAGGATGGGTGGTAGTAGAGTTAAACTGTTTCCAAAAAAAGGCAAGATTATGTATCCAATTGCTCCATCTTAAAAATACAGGTTTTCTAATGTGAATTGAGACACATATCATTCAGTTGCTCATTGAGTCAGCTGTTCATTCAGTGAATCAATACCAACTAGGCAGGTGGTTAACACTTTGCTAGGCATTGAGGGGGAATGCAGATGACCAAAACAAGAATGACCAAATGAAGGGTTTAGACTGTAAGTGTTACAGGAGTGTACCTGAACTTTTTAGCAGGTTTGCCTTTCTCAAGTCTTCCTTTGCAACCTATCTTCCATGCTCTACCAAGTAAGCTTTCTAAAAACTAATGCTTATCTGTTTCCACGGGGAAAAAAGTGAGGCTCTTTAGTGTCGCATTCAATGGTTTTCATTATCTGGCCCCAGTATCCACTCAAGGCTTTATCCTTCCCATTCTCTCTCATAAACCCTATGTTCTACTATTATATCAAACCATGAGGCACCAGGTTCTTTCCAATCTGTTCCCCTTTGTGTAGAATGCCTTTCCCACTTCTTCCCCTGGCGAACTCCCAGTCAGCTTCCAAGATTCAGTTCAAAGTTTTGATGAAACATTTCCTCTATGCTCCTCATCTGTCCTGGATTTGAGCACATTATTCTGCTGTCTTTATTAGATGCTGGGATTTTTGAGGGCACTGGGTTTATCTTGTTAGCCTTTGTATCCCTGGATCCAGGTCTGGATCTCTGGCCCAATGAATACTTGTTAAATGACTTAAGAAACATTTAACAAATAAATGTGAGGAAAGAGCTGAAAGGGTTTTGGTATATTTAAGTAAGGGATTATTGAGGGCATAAGACTTGAAGCTGGACCTAGGAAGACAGTAAAGAGGTGGGGAAAGACATTTGGAGGAGGAAGAGGAGGAGAATTACCTCAGGAGGCAGACGAACAAAAGCCCAAGACTGAGAGTGAAGACAGTGAGGGAGTCAGCCAGACGGTGGCTGACTGCTGTGCTGTCTTGACCTTGTCAGTGACTATATTTCTCAATTATACTTTCAGCTCCTGGAGGGCAGAGTATTTTGTACACTCCTTTGTATCCTGTTTATATTTGATGCACATCTCCATAGCTATTGTTCCTACTGTCTTGTGGTTCTTATTCTGCTCAGTAGTATAATTATATGCGTATCTACACACTCCCCCAGCACTTACACTGCCCACCTTCCTGGCTGCTTGAGGTAGGAGATAAGGTCTTGGTGTCTTTGCATCTTCCAAGATACCTAGTGTAGTGCTTGGCACACAATAGGTTCTCGATAAATATTTTTTTGATCTACCATTTGTTGATACGATTACAGAGGACCAGAAGCATATTTGTGTGCAAATGTGTATTGTGCCACAAAACTTATATATGCCTTAACACTGTAGAGTCTGTGTTTAGCAATTTTTATTAAAATATTACCTTATTGTACTTGGAAGACTGTCATTTCAATATTTTTCCTTGTTCCTTCTTGGATGACTCACATCTCTAATACCAGAAGGGTATGACAGAAGGGATTCAAAAAGGGTTTGGACAAATTTATGAATGACAAAGCCACAAATATCTGGTTATAAGAAGTTGTTAGGAACATGCAAAGAGGAAGGAGAAAGTTTAGATTTCAAAGATGGCTGTTATGTGCCAAGAACTGGGTCAGGCATTTGATGTACATTATATCTCATTTAATTGGACAGAATATATCAGTATAAAGACAGGACATGTCTATAAGGCCAAGCCCATACCCACTGAGGTACATGGCTTCTCCATGTGCCAGAAGCAATATTCATTGTTACTAAAATTTTATCAACCTTTTCAGACAGATGAATCTATGGATTTGCATTGTTTCCTAGGAACAAAACACATTCTCACCTCAGGCTTGTACATGCTTAAAACTGTTTTTTGACAAAACTTGATCAGTTTTTCAAGTCTCAGTGCTTTAAATTATAATGCAGTCTGAGATATTCCCACAACAATAACAATGATTACATTTGTTCACTTACTTTTACATTTCATAAAGCTTCCGAACACTGAATAAAGGTAAGTCAAGGAAAAAGACTTCTATGAACCCTGCCACCAGCAAATTGTCTCAAATTATAGTTTGCCTTCTATTTGTATTCTAGTCACATTGAGTGTTGTTTGTGAGGTACATATTATACCTCATCTGTGGTGAGAAGAAAATTGGAGGGAAATTAGTTTAAGTTGTTTCTAATTTTTAAAAAATAATAGTAACTTTCAAAAACATAATGCTCCTAAGTGCACAGCTTCTGCACCTGCCATGAATCAAAATGTTATAACTGAAATATCATCTCTACACCTTGGGAATTGGCTTGAGAAAGTGGGAAGGCAGGTATGGGTTCATTATTATAAAGTCACACAGTCTAAGGCCTGCAGCTACACATCCTGATCTGTGATAACATGCTTCCTGCCAAGTGTGGAAGTAGGTGGGAAGAGAAGGGATACACCTCTGGGTAGGGGATTATCAGCACACTCACAGGGCGCAGATAGCTTTCTAATAACCTGTTTTGGGAAAACTAGAACAGACATCATTGCTTTGGAAAACATAAGCCCCATTTCATATGATTAAAGAAAATGGTGAGGGGTCAAATGACGGTTCACAAATTGATGGTCCTGCCCCAACCTCTGTTTACTACTAATCACTGGAAAAACACCAGACCTGTCTTTGTGGTGAGTCTGTGTTACTCAAAGAAAATTGAGAAACCAGAGACCAGGACTACCACCAAAGAATATAGGTGCAACATACTGCCTATGGGACTTTGTAAAGATGGACCAGAACCCAGCTTATACATTGAGAAAACTGCCCCTTCTTTTTTTGAGGTAGGGGATGAAAATACGCATATATTCCAAAGAGTTCTTTGTGTGAACAGGTGACCCCTTCCCACAGTCTCTGTAATTAATTGAGAAATTAAAGTTGGTTGGCCTTTGAGATCTCTTGTAAAAAAGGCAGAAGGTCTTGGATATTTTGGAACAAGAGTCCACTATTCTGCCAAGACAGTGTGTTATTGTTATTGGAGTGTCTCTCAACAAAACGGTATTGAGTAGTGAGGACGTGATTTTGATTAGGTGGAATGACTCAGCTCTTCCCCTTAAAGAAGAGAGGACTTGTCAGAGCCTTACTTACCTCATGATCTGGGATCTCAGAGGATAGTGTTTTCCCTAGGATGACCCCGGTCAAGTATGTCCAGCATCGAGCCGTGTTGGCAAGGTTATAGCCTCCTGTCTCCACCAAGAATTGTGAAGTTAGGAAAGAATAGTCACAAAACAGCAGGAGAGGGAAGAGGGGTAAGGAAGGAGAGAAAAATGTTTTAATAAAAGGTCTAAAAAGACAACTTGCAGAATTTCACCCAAACATCCCTTTATATTTTTAAATCACTTAGTAGGCAGAATTTAGTGGACCAGTCAGACTGTGCACCATGTGGAACTGGGAAGTTCAAGGCCTCCAAAGATTAAAAAGGTCCTCATTTTGGAACAAGTATGCACCTGAGGATGCTAAGCTCCTCAATTCCATCAAGAGTCATCGGCAAGAATGAGATCCCTGGAACCTGGGTCTCTTGCGGTGACCTACCTAATGTGAAGGTTTCTGTGATGAATTTTGCAACAATTCTATAAAATGACTGCTGGATATGGTTTGTATGTTAAATCTATTGGCAGATATAGCCTTAGAATACGTCCAGGAAAGAGAAAAGGAAAATGCTAACAGAAACAGGCTTCCTTCTTTTAACATCAGCATTCCTCTTCTCCACAAAATGCAGGCTTAGTAGCAGAGATCAAAGAGAATGGGATGAGGAATGGAGTGTTGATTGACACTCTGACCCATCTCATCAGGTCCTGTCACAGTCACCCAGAAGCCATATTATACTGGCTAAAAATCGCATATTTTTGTCCTGAATAGATGCGTTCGGCCATGCAAACATTAGAACACTGGCCTTTAGCTAAATTCCAAGAGTGTAAGTATAAAATGGAATTATTTCCTAACCTCATTGCAGCCTGAGGAAGGTCTAACTTCATCTATTTTAGGTAGGGTAACCATAAAATTTATCATCCAAATATGGTACACTTTTTAGAAATATTTATTTATTTATTTATTTATTTATTTATTTATTTATTTATAGAGAGATGGGAAGGGAGGCAGAAAAAGAGGGAGAGAGACATCGATATGAGAGAGAAACATTGGTCAGTTGCCCCTTGTACGTGCTCCAACTGGGGATCAAACCCACAACCCAGGCATGTGCCTTGACCAGGAATTGAACCCACAACCTTTCACTTTGTGGGACGATGCCCAATCAACTGAGCCACACAGGTCAGGGCCAGAAGAGTACACTTTTAAGAGTAAAAGGGGACACTATTAATAATTACACTGGGATAACAACATATAAATTGGGACATATGGTCACCCTTTTCTTAAGTCTTTCTACTCCTTGAAAGGTCAAGGATGCTGGGGCTTCTGGAGTGTGCCTTTTAGGCCTCAATAAGGTCCACTGAAACTTGGGGACATAGTCAACTCCATGAATTATCTATGTGTTATTCGGAGTTGAAAATTCAAATGAAATAATACAGGTATTGCTTTAAACACTCCTGATGTGGAAAATCTGAACTTCTAAGGTTGACTTATTGGGAGTGATTATTTGATTTCAAAAAAGAGTCACTACAGGTTTTAAGTAATAAGCTCTCTCTGGTGTACATACCATATGATTTCCAAAAATTCCATTTATGCATGGCATTTTCAGGAATATGCATATATCAAAAGCCAAAACTTTGGACTGAAAAAGCTAAGAGGCTTTGAAAATGCTAACAAAAGTTGAATTCACACAGATATATATCATAGAAAGGGCTCTTTTTTCTTCTTCCCTAACTGTACCTGTATCTTAATCACCATTCTTTGTGCCGTCAAGGAAAGTAATATGTCACACAGTACTTATCAATTTTATCTTTTCCCCGAGTTGAAGTTAATACGTTCCTTTCTGGCTTTTTATAAGAGGTTGTCTCCTGCAAGCACCTTTAATTTTAATCCCTCTAGAGTCTGAGGCTGCCAAAGGACCAGGCTTGTGTATTTGTATTGAATGCTCACTCATATTCATAAGACCTTCCCACAATCTCCTCTAATTTTGTTTTTTACAACAGGTCGACAAAACAACAGACTCTTAGTTCTTCCATATTACATACATTTTAAGCTCAGTCTAACATGACACATTGATCAATTCATCCAATAAAATAAAGATTGTGCCAGGCAGATAGAAGATTCTAAGCAGGGCATCTTCAAAGGTAGCTGAGGTTGTGAAAGGTCCCTTTCACAGATGTGTAAATGCTTCTATTGAACTGACTCAGCTTTCTGTTGGTTAAGTAATATAAAACATCAGTACACGTTGAGGGCAAGAATGTCCAATAGACTCTTTAGATCTCTCAATTTTACTTTGTTATAACAAATCTATGCTTTTTTTTTTTTTAGGAGCATGGGGGCATAAGTCATTCCTGATTTCAGTTTAGACTTAATGAATTCAGGTATTTACTACACATATTTGAGTGGGGTTAGAATTTTAGTGGTATGTTTCCGTAAGATTATTGGTAGAACTGAGAATCAAAGACTACACTGAAAGAAGGTGGATCAAAGTGCACTGTTGACATCCTCTATACTTAATAAGATCTGATGTCACCTTTAACCCAAAGACCTCTGTCTCAGGAACTGAACATTTTACTTGAGTGCCAAGGAGTCACTGCATACACTAAATTGATCAGAAGTGTGCCAGAGTACTTCCTTATGCTGAACTGTGAAGGTAGCAGAATTCACTGACTCAGGCTTCTGGACCACTGGCAGGTTGATATCATCTAATCTAAGAAAGTCAAGTTTTCCTTAATGTCAATAAATACAATGTCGAGGAAGGTCAACAAATTCTCCTGGGTGACGTTCCTTTGTACTCACCTCCTCCCAAAATGAGCGTCGCCAATTGCCACTGAAGGATGTACTTAAGACATTTGCCGATCCCCACTGGAGTCATGTTAAAGGAGCACATGGGATCCCCAGCTATTGTATCAGCGCCCAGCTGTAAGACCACTGCTTTAGGATTAAAGGCAATGTAGACTTCCTTTAGTACACTGTAGAAAAGAGAAAGATTATAAAAATGTCAGAAAATGATAGGTCGGTTTGGTCTAGGAGTGGTGATGGTGGTGGAGCTAGTGGGAGGTATAGCTGAATCAGGAAATAGTGAAGGAAAAAAATATCCAGCTTGTCAATCTCATCAAACTTTCAATTTAAAAGGGTGAATCAGAGTCTATGTCAATTATACCTCAGTAAACTGACTTACAAAAAAAATTCTATCCACCTCCTCCCTCACCAAAGACCAAATTTGTCCCGAGTGTTAGTACTCAGACTTCCTTGAAACATTCATATTAATTTAACTTCAACAGCCATAGTACATAGTGTACATATTTACTCCATTTTATACTCTGGGAAAGTAAGACATTTATATTAACTAGTTAGTAAGGATTATTTCTGATAATTAAGACTGTCAACATACTTTGAATTTATCACGTAGTTATCACTGGGGGCTGGTGAAGAGCATTACATGCTTTGAAAGCATAAGCATTATCAGTTTAATTTTATTATGATAAAGGACTTCTGGGTTGTGAAATGCAGCCCTCCCTAATTCATACGTAACCAGAGTATTATAGGGAAGGGAACTGCAACAACTGATCCAAAATCATATATCTGAAAAGAGCCTGGGGAACAAATTGTAGTGGGTAAGAATGAGCATAACTTTGGGTAGAATCATTCAATACTATCAAATCAACCTAACAGCTTTTTTCAAGTCAGAAGCCTTATGAGTGAAAAGGAAGTTGTCAATGTGACAGATGACCTTAGTCTGGTTTCCAGTATTATCATTAATTGAACACTGACAATGTCCAGAATGCATTCCTAGGAGTTATAAGGTCCCTGCTCTCAAGGGGCTTACAATCTAGTTCCCAGACAAAACATATTCCAGTACTCAAGGGCCTGAGTAACTCTCACAGAGACATATAAACATGTGCAAATTAACATAACTTCAGAGTTGAGAAAATGCAGAGTCAAAAAGTGATTAAAAATGCTGGGGTTAATAACCCCTTCACAGTCAACATGTCAAATTGTACCAGTGCAGCAAAAACAGAAAAAACCCAGATCCTTCTGAAACTGCAAAAAGAACTCAGGGATATAAAATGCCGATCTCTCAAATTCATATGTAACAAGGGCATTGAAACTATTGAAAAGTGCTCAGCTGCAGGGCCATTCTTTGACTCAAAAGACTGTTTTGTTTTGATTTCTCATCTATGCAGACAAATATTGAGTGATTGTGGAGATTATAAGAATATTATAAAACTTATGACATATGATATTCAATACAGGAATACTCAGCCTTATCCTCTCTTTCACGTGCTTATCTCCTGGGTGCAGAGAGATGATAAGCCACCTGAATAGCTAGCCAACATTTATTGAACATCTACATGTACAGAGCTCCCTATTAGCTGCTGCTGTGAGACACAGTGGAAGGAATGATCTCTGTTCTAGAAAGGTTTATAGCCTAATGGGGAGCAGGCGGAGACAAGAAAGACTAACGTTTTCTCATTCATTCCTTTTTTACTTTTTTTATTGTTTATATTATTACAGATGTCCTCCTTCCTCCTCCTTTGCCCACCTCCCCATGCCCTCCCCGCTTTCCCTCTGGTCATCACCTCACTGTTGTCCGTGTCTGTGGGTTATGCACATATGTCCTTTGGCTAATCCCTTCACCTTCTTTCATCCAGTCCCCCATCTCCTCTGACAGTTGTCTGATAAGGGGTTAATTTCCAAAGTAGATAAAGAACTTATATGACTCCACACCAGGAAGACAAACAATCCAATTTAAAAATAGGCAAAGGGCCTGAATAGACACTTCTCCAAAGAGGACATACAGATGGCCAATAGACACATGAAAAAATGCTCAATGTCACTAATCATCAGAGAAATGCAAATTAAAACCACAATGAGATATTACCTCACACCCACCAGAATGGCTAACATCAATAAATCAACAAACAACAAATATTAATGAGGATGTGGAGAAAAGGAAACCCTCATGCACTGTTGGTGGAAATGCAGACTGGTGTAGCCACTGTGGAAAACACTATGGAGTTTCCTCATTCATTTTGTCCTCACTTTGCACACATTAACTGAGTGCTCTCTGTGTGTCCAGCATGTAACTGTAGCAGATGTTGCAGGAACAAAGATGAATGTGGCACAGTTCTTATCTTCATGTGGCTCAGAGCAGAGGGGAAGACTCGGACTATGTCAATAATTAAAATACAATGATAAATGAAGTATCAAAGATGGCATAGAGGGGAGAGTAATCAACTTTTTCAGATGATGTTAGAAAGGGCTCTACAAGGGTAACTCTTGACTTAGGTCTTAGAAGGTGAGGAAAACTGTAGTGAGCCATCTATCAAAATGGCTAAAACGAGAAAGAGTAATAACATCAATTGCTGGTGAGGATGTGGAAAAAACTATTCACAGATACCTTGTGGGGGAGTGGTACAGCCGCTCTGGAAAATATTTTGGCTGTTCTTGTCAAAACTAAAAGTAGGCTTATTGTGCAATCCAGCAATTGCATTCTCGGGCATTTATTCAAGAGAAATTAAGACATTTTCACATAGGAACTTGTACATAAATGTTCACAGAAGCTTTATTTGTACCAATCCAAACTTGAAACAACTCAGATATACTTCAACAGGTGAATAGCTAAACAAATTGTGGTACAGCCATACCATTGGACTATTGCTCATCAGTAAAAAGAAACAAACACTGATAGCTGTAAAAGAACTTGAATGGATCTCAAGGGAATTATGCTGGGCAAACAAGGGTAATCTCCAAATCTATACTGCTCGTTTCCACTTACATACCATTTGTTAAATAATAATTAGAGGGATGGTGAACAGATTAGTGGTTGACAGGGGTTAGGGATGGGTGTGGCTGCACAACAGAGCCTTCTGGTGACTGTACAGTTCTTTATCTTGACTGGAAGTAGTTGTGGTTTTGCAAAGCCACAGAGACACACACACACACACACACACACACCCCACACCGCCCCCCCCACCCCAGTACATGTGTAACTGCTGAAAACTGAATAAACTCTATGGATTGTACCAATGTCAACTTCTTGATTTTGATATTGGACTATCATTGTGCAAGATGTCAACATTGGAGGAGGGTGGAGGAAATGGGCATGGGACTTCCCTGTAAATTTCTTTGCAACCTCCTGTAAATCTATGATTACCTAGAAAGAAAAGTAAATAAAAGATTAGGATGGGTAGAGAAAAAGGTAATTAGAAGCTTTGAAAAAGGTAGAGTATTTTGTATACAATATAAGTGTCAAAGCAACAAGAAATAAGGACAGCTCATACAAGACTATATGGTAGACACTTTTAAATTCAAGACCTGGAAGTTTTCATTTGGTTTGACAGTCAAATGGGAGCCACTGGAAAAGTATGAGATAAGTACTGATGTTGCTGAAAAATAATACTTAGGACATTTGATTTTTGCTGTTCCATGTAAGGCCAAAGAAAGAACGTTTGGAGACAAGGATTAGCAAAAATGGTATTGAAGTATTCTAGGCACAAAGGCAACAGGAAGAAAGATAAGGTAAATTTGGGGAAAAAAATGAGGTCTAGGTGACAGATTGGTTGGGAGGTGTCACAGGAGAAAACACACTGTGTGTATTCCTCCTGTATCACAGGAAGAGGAAAGAGAAACTGGAATCTTCCTTTTCCTATTGCTACTTTCAAATTCAGTATTCTTCCCTGTCGTCAGTCTCTCCTTTTTTGAGATCAGCGTCATTTGCTTATACTACTCAAATATTATGAAATTTCTTATTTGTATACCTACAATGTATGCCTTCCCCTCCCTTGAAGATTTTAATACCTGGTTCACAACTTTTATGTCTCTTTTTTCCCTTCTCATCATTCTCTGCAGTTCAATATCCATTCAGTCACTAAATTCCTCCCCCCGCCCCGCCCCGCGTACTTTTGATTTTTCATTGAATTTATTGGGGTGACATTGGTTAATAATATTATATAGGTTTCAGAGGCACACTTCTATAATACATCATCTGTATATTGTACTGTGTGTTCACCACCCTAAGTCAAGTCTCCTTCCATCACCATTCATTCCCCTTTACCCTTTTCTATTTCCCCCTACCTCTTTCCCTCTGGTAATCACCATACTGTTGTCTGTGTCTAGGAGTTTTTTTTCTTAATCTACTTCACCTTTTACACCCAGCTCCCAAGCCTCCTCCCCCTCTGACAGCTGTCAGTCTGTTCTCTGTATCTATGAGCCTGTTTCTGTTTTGTTTGTTTATTTTGTTCATTAGATTCCACATATAAGTGAAATCATATGGTACTTGTCTGTCTCTGACTGGTTTATTTCACCTAACATAATAGTCTCCAGGTCCGTCTGTGCTGTCACAAAAGGTAAGATTTCCTTCCTTTTTACAGCCGTCACTCAGTAAAATCTTGATTCAGGCATCTACTCTTCCCCATGCTAGGCACTGGAGATACAGAAATAAGTAAGACCCAAGGAGCTTACAGTCCAGTAGGACAAGACAGAAAAACAAACAAACTATGAGTGTTACAATATTCACTCCTCCTCTCCTCTCCCCTCCCTTCCCTACCATCATCACAATGAATTTAAAAAAATTTCCATCATCCACAAAAGAAGTCTCATACCCATTAGAAGTTACTACCTATTCCTACCATTCTTCAATCCCCCAACCCCTGGCAACCACTAATCTTTCTGTCTATATGGATTTATCTCATCGAACTTTTATATAAATGTGGCCTTTTGTGACTGGCTTCTTTCACTTATCATGTTTTCAAGGTTCATCCATGTTGTAGCATCAGTACCTCACTTCTTTTTATGGCTAAATAATATTCCATGGTTTGTACATACCACATTTTCTTCATCCATTCATCAGTTGATGGACATCTGAGTTATTTCTACTTTTTGGCTCATGTGAAAAATGCTGCTATGGACATATGTGTACAAGTTTTTGTCTGAACAAGTTTTCATATCTCTTGGGTATAAACCTGTA